ATATATATATATATATATATATATGCGTGTGTGTGTCGTCTCGTTCTTCTATATATCGAATAATCTGTACAAACTTACAAACAAATTTCATATATGAAAGCTACACGTGTTAAAAAGTAGTGTTTATACAATGTTGTTTTATATATAAAATGTTCATGATTTTTTTTCCCAAATCCAAAAAAGTCTCGAACGTTTCAGATATGAAACAACACTATATAAACACTGGATTTTCATACATGTTATTTCATATGTGAAACAATACATGAAAATTAAGTTATAAGTTTGTATAATTTATTATATTTGTAAATAACTACGTGTATATATAAGAACTTATTATTCTCTGTATAAAGCATTTTTGTTACCGAAGGTTCACATAAATTAACATCATCCTATACATTTACATCTGTTAACATTTAAATGCCAACTTTTTCATATTAAGCCATTAAAAATATGTTAATCTATTTAACCATTTAATGTTCATAAGTGTTCAGTGCATTAAATATATTAACATATGTTAATTAATAGTTTATTTATTAATTAAATTAAAAATAATAATTTTGTTCGCAAAAGATACTTTTGCAGTTTGCATCTTCGAAAGTAAATTACCGCTATACCCTTCATAACAAAAGAGCTCAAAGGCGATGACTAGTAGATTTGTCGCTTACTTAGACGATTGGACTAGATCGAAAGCCTGGAATGATTCCGGACTGCTTACATAGTGAAACGCGTCTTTGAGGCTAAAAAGCCCGGCCGCCTTGAAAGAGAATTCCTAATGCTTTGCCGGATTCCCCAACCGGGGGGGGGGGGGGGGGGGGGGGGGAGACGAGGAAATTTATGGATAAGCTTTTTATTATACATTGATATATTTTCTATAGCTTGGTCAAATACATCTTAAAAATACTCGAAACGAAGATAATTGTAACCTCATATTTATTTTAAAATTTTAATACTTCTTTTATAATGCTTTAAATTAATATGATTGTTACAAAATAGATATTTTATTTTACAATCACTTGCTTTTTCATAATTGACAAATGCTTATTTCAATATTATATCTTTTAATTACCATAATTTATTAATCGTTTTAGTTTTTTTTAATTGCCAGTGGATATTTATATATATTAAGTTTAGATACGTTCTGAGCTACAGGCCCCACTCCGTCTTCATTGGATTCCGTTCTCGGATTCATTGGTATTCCTGGTATAATAGATGCTAAATGTTTTGATGATATCGATATTGATGAGATTGACAATATTGGTGCTTAATCTTTTTTTTTTATATTCTTTTGGTTCGTAAGAAATAACACTTTTCATCCTTGCAATTTTATAGTTACAAGATGGCTATCGTGGTTAAACGTCTTGTTTTGATCCCTCTTTCTAATGACCATAAAAAGATTCTGTTAAATGAGAGGTATTTTCGTTCTTTTATCGATTTTTTGTTTTTGTTTTTTTATCCAATCAAAAATAATAGGAATCATAATGTTAAAATTACTTTTGATTGGGTGAAAGACAGAAGAAATCGATAAAAACAGATGTTCCTTATTTAACGGAATTTTTTTAACTCCTGTAAATATTAGGAACCAATTCTCAACGTTATTGTAAACCGTAATTATCATCTTGTAAAAATGTTACCGGACTGACCAAATTTGTAGTATTCTTTAGAAAATATCTTTGTTTTCAAATCATTGTTCAACATAATGATTATTGATGGGAAACCCAGGTTTTATGCTGTTTTTTTATCAATATTTATAAAAATAAAATATTGTATTGATTATTGTGATTTTGAAATTATAATAATTAGTTACGTGTGTCTATGTAATTGGATTACGATGATTCCGACCTTAAAGTGTAAACTTTGGGACCGTTTATCAAAATACTTACTCGGTAAGTGTTTACTGGCATGAGTCGACACTATAATTTATATTATCAGATAAGATTGTAGTATATTAAAACGGTATTATATGCAACAATTTACCCGAGTAAGAGTCTTCATCATCACTTACCGGGGACTTTATATCATTATCATCGTTCTTACCGGGTAAGATTTCCAACCCTTGCTACATGCATCAGGTGAGGAAAACTACTCAATCCACACTTACCGGATAAGTATTTAGTAAACGGCCCCTTAGTTACGTGTGTCTGGATTTAGATGATTATATAAGAAAATATTTGTAAGAAAATTAGTCAATGAGATTAGAAATGCATACATATAATTTGGGCAAAAACTTGATCGTTGGTAGTATTAATATGGAACCCACCTCTAAAGACGATAATACCAGGAACATTTTTTTGATTTATTTAATGATTAAGGGGCTGCTTACTTGCGGCTTAATTAGGCTTATTGGTCTATCCGGATTATTCACACAACTTATTTAGGTTGTTTACTTACGGCTTATTCGCACAGAACATGACTTAATCGCACAGATAGAAATAGTGTGTTGTCTCCATTCAGCCACAAAAATGACACCCCTACCCTTATTTAAAGCACTGAATCCTTCCCATATGAGATACCCCATCTTCAACTTCTTTATGATTTTTTGTTTTGATATTCAAATAATTAATATCGAGGGATAAATCGGTCATTTATGTTATCCAGACTGTTGGTTAAGATAAATAAAAGTAAACAACAACACCCATTTATCCAAACAAACAAATTTATCCAGACATAACTTAATAAAAAATTTGGTAAACAGCCCCCAAGACTAGTGAAGGGTTTGGAATCGAACCCATAACATATCTTGTATTTAATAAGTCACTTCACCTCTTTTCCAATGAGTAAATATTAATAATTCTTAACTTTAAGCAAATAATTATTTATATTACAATAATTAATTTTCAAACTTAATTAATATAGAGTTAAGTTGATTGCATATTTTTGGGACCATGTTTTTTTATTATATTATTTGTTGATTGATAATATATATATATATATATATATATATATATATATATTGGTTATTATACAACCCTTTATATTTGTACAACCTAATCTAAATCGTCCATTTAATTTGATGAATATGTGATTTCATAAAAGTTTTGAGTGTTTCCTAATATAAAGTATTGATCATGATTAATTAACCCTATTAATCTTCCATAAATATTCAAATCATAATAAATAAACTCTCATCATTACTATAAATATCTCAATTAATTGGATTGTATTGGTTGTACAAATAGACATGGTTGTATTTGATATATATATATATATATATAGTTTGTTTCAAATACAACTCATTGCATTTGTACAACCAATGCAACCCAATAATTTGAAATATTTATGGAAATGATGAGAGTTCATTTATTATAATTTGAATATTTATGAAAAATAAATATGGTTCATTAATTATGATCAATACTTTATATTAGAAAACAATCAAAACTTCTATGAAATCACATATTAATCAAATGAAACGGACGGTTGAGATTGAGTTGTATTGGTTGCACAAATGACAAGAGTTATATAATAACCAACCCTCTCTCTCTCTCTTTCTCTCTCTCTCTCTCTATATATATATATATATATGGGTATGATCAAATGTTAACCAAAGTTTTTGTGTTAACTTTGTTAACCGATCTTGGCCATTCAATATTTCAATAAATGGTTGTGATTAATCATGATAAAAACTTATTTTTTTAAATTTAAAATTGCATAAAGATAAGTGAACAATGTTGAAAATAATATTTAGGTAAAAAAATGTATGTAACTCACATATCATTAATTAATTGGGAATTACAAAATCAAAAATTCTATGATTTTTTTTGTTAATGTAAGAACCATATGAACACAACTATATATATGAATCATTGTATCAAATACGAACAAAAATTTGACATATATATGAACTTGGACTGCATAGCATTTATGAACACAATATGAACATAATAAGAATAACTGCTATACGAAAGAAAATAAATAAAAAAACAGGTATGAACACGATATGAACAGCTTGTGAACAATAGTTCCTTCATTATAGACACATTCAAGAGCGATACTTTGTCAATTGGAGTTTTATACATGCATTGCATCCACACCGTTTAAGGTTCAYCMTTTGTTCATATATGTTTCTGATCTTATATGGTTGTTCACCCTTGTTCAATAGTACTGTAGAAATATGAACACATTATGAACGAGTGATGAACATGAACAATAGTACCGTAGAAATATCGTAGAAATATCGTAAAAATATGAACACAATATGAATGAGTAATGAACATGAACAAGCCACATAGTGAGAGATTATCGTAGAAATAGTATGAACACATAACATATATGCTATGAACACGTGGTGCAATTAAAGAAAAAAACTATCAATACAAGATGAAATATAAAAAACACAACACATCGTAATGAATATAATTCGTTTTTCTAATAAAAATATTAATCTATTACCAAGACATTCACTTTGGTTAATTTCTTCACTTCCCGAACTCGAACTCCAATTGTCATCATCAACTATTTTAATCTTCTCACTGTTGTCGATTTATTTTCCATTGCGTTTATCCATATTAGTTTGATCGATACCGAAAATTTTACTACAATGTTTCCTATGCGAATTAAAAACTCATAAAACAATAAACATGGAAAATCAAGATTAAAAAATATATATATTATATATATATATATTAATATTATAAATGCATATGTAAATTAATTTGATAATTTGTAACTCTCCATTAATTGTTTGAGAGTTACATATCAAATCAATTTACTAAAATACTCTTGTAATTAACTTGTGAATATGACATAAACCTACTAGAAGAATGAAATTTGATTGGTTGATATAGTTTGCAAAGTTAACACAAAATTGTTGGTTAACATTTGATCTTCCTCCTCTATATATATATATATATATATATATATATATATATATATATATATATATATATATATCAATAGAGATATTATTTATTAAAAAAAAGCATATTTCTTTTAAGAAGGGGAAGGACACTCTCTCTCTCTCTCGTCTCCGCCATTAAGACCCCCCATCGCTCACTGTGGCTCCAACTTTCTCTCTAGTTCCTTATTCGTGGATCTCAATCATATCCCCAAATCCTATTTATACGCCTATTTTTCTTTATCTTTTTCGATAAAATCCACCATAAATCTCATTGACCCACTTGGGTTTTTCTTAATCTAATCATATACTTCAACATCTCGAGGTAAATGGCGTTACCCACCGAGATTCATCACTCTGTTGTTTCAGCTAATTGATCATGGAAGATCGCAATTACAGCTCCCACCGGATTCACGGCATGTCGGATGTCGTTTTCGAATGCGTGATTCCGTACATACACGATGAGCGTGACCGTCAATCCGTCTCCTTGGTGTGCCGGAGATGGTACGAGCTTGATTCGCAGACGCGAAAGCACGTAACTATAGCCTTGTGTTACGCCTCCACTCCCAAACAGCTATGGCGGAGGTTCCCTTATCTTGAATCGTTGAAACTCAAAGGGAAGCCACGCGCCGCCATGTATAACTTGATCCCCGAGGATTGGGGCGGCTATGTGGCGCCGTGGGTGGAGGAATTTGCGAGATCTTTCAGATGCTTAAAAATTGTTCATTTTAGAAGGATGATTGTGACCGATGAAGATCTTAAGGTACTCGCTCGAGCTCGTGGTCATGTTCTTCAGGTTCTTAAGCTTGATAAGTGCTCCGGGTTTTCCACCGATGGACTTTTGCATATTTGTCGCTCCTGCAGGTAATTAATTTTTAACAGTTTGCTCTTCGATTTATATAAATATGTGTGTGTGTATATATATATATTTCCAAATTTAGTATGTGACTTTACTCGATTTTTCTTCCTTTCTTCCCTAATTTGCTCTATCTTCTCTCTCTCTCTCTCTCTCTCTCTCTCTATCTTTCCTTTTATATTCATTTATGGGATAGAACCATTTCTTTTCTTATGTTCATCTTTCTAAAGACCCATAGAGAATGGGATTCGTATAGAACACCATCCAACTAATTGATGATTGGGATGAAAGTTTAAGCAATTTGGATGAGATTCGAATGTAAGATTCTCAGTTTATGGAGCGTGTTATGATCATTGATGCTGAATGTGTATTCTGTGGTGGTCTGAATATAGACAGATTATGCTTCGTCTCTTTTTTGATATTGTTCTTCTGAATAATATTAGTTTTGAATATGTTTTTTAGCCATTTTATTCTATTTATAATCTCCTATGGATAACCATTAATACCAAATTTAGCATCAACATAAAAAAAGACCGGAAAACCATGGCTTTGAATATGGTGTTTTTCATTTGAGATGGTGTTGTTGAGTTTTATAGCCTTCAACCCATACAACGTTTTCGATATGTATGCGTATAAAAGACTCGAAAACCATGGTGTTGGCTACATCAATGTATCCTATGTTATTTCCTTAGATATATCCAGATCTTTAGGTTATCTAAAGGGAATTCCAACTGCTGGTACAAGCAGAGTTGGGTTTATCTGTTACTCACAGTTTAGATAGATCAAGATTCTTAGGGGTGATTTTGGGTTTATGAATTATTCACAGGAAATTTTTATGTGTAGTATTTGTTATTAAATAGAATGTCAACATCAAGTTACTTGAAATTTTTGAACAATTAATTTTCAGAAATTTGACCTCAAACTCTAAAACTTTGTTTTCCTTGACACTAGGTGCTAGGCTTGCAGCTCTTATTTGGCACTTTAGCAGATAAAGTTGTGGACTTGTGATGTTATTCTCCAATTGTTCCATGAAAATTGCAACATATAGCCTCAAGAGTGTGTTTGACTATTAATCAAATGTCTAAAGTACCCCTTAGCGATGACAAAACTTTAGGGTCTGTTCAGTACAAGGCATAGGACGGGATAGGATAGAACAAAAGCTTGGTGTCTCACGTTTGGTGTGACATTTAGACCGGGCCTACCTCACTTCCGTGCGTTTTAGTCCCGTCATATCCGGTCCATCCGCATACCTGATGCGGCCTTAGAAACTTGTGGACACATCAATATCACCATTTTTTGTGGTGGTTAGACTATGGAGAAATAAATAATTTTAGTTTAGATACTTTTATAAAAGAAAATGATGCAATTTTCATGGGACATTTAACTTTGCTTTATATTTATTTTTTTGAATATAAAACTTATACTTTATGGTATGCAGGAATTTGGAAACCTTGTTTCTTGAAGAGAGCCAAATAACAGAGAAGGATGGAGAGTGGCTACATGAGCTTGCTTTGAACAATACCATGCTTGAAACATTAAACTTTTACATGACAGATCTGTCCAAGGTGAGTTTTAAGGATCTTGAACTCATTGCCACAAAATGCAAGTCTCTAGTTTCGGTCAAAATAGGCGATTGTGAAATCTTGGATCTCGTTGGCTTCTTTCGTGCTGCTGTTTCCCTACAAGAATTTAGTGGTGGTTGCTTTAATGATCAAGCCAAAGGCTATGCTGATGTAACGTATCCCCCAAGATTGTGTCGATTGGGCCTAAATTACATGGGTACCTATGAGATGCCGATTGTGTTTCCCTTTGCATCGCGGCTCAAGAAACTTGATCTCCTCTACGCCCTTCTTGACACCGAAGATCATTGTCTCTTGCTCCAGCGGTGTCCTAATCTCGAAGTTCTTGAGGTAGATTATTTTCGTGTTTGTTTGTATGATGTGAAATGCGCAAATTTTCAACTTCATAGTTGTGATGGTAAATTAGCTGAAAAACTGGTTATTGGCTTATAAGCTAGTAGTTAGCTGATAATCTGGTAAAACATAGTTGATAAGCTTGATAACAATGTAAATGACCTAAAAGAACATGTTGAGAAACTACTTGGAAAAATATAAGGGGTATAATTGGAAAAGGTGGAAAAAAGCCAATGGAGCTTAGTGAAACGCTATTTCAGGTAGCATTTCAGAAAGCTAGCTTATGGCTAACCAAACTAGTTGTTACCTGAAAAGCTAGCGGCTAGCCGATGAACTAGTTATGTTTTGTAAAACACTAAAACCTAGCGAACAAGTTAGATAACAATGTAAAATGACCAAAAATGACATGTTGAGAAATAATTTGAAAAAACATAAAGGGTATAATTGGAAGAAAAAAAAAAGCCGCTCGAGCTTACTGTAACGCTACTTCAAATAATGTTTAAAAAAGCTAGCTTATGCTAACCAAATGGGGCATTTTCAGTTAGCTCAAACAATAAGCTAGCTAGCTTATCGTTACCAAACATTGCCACACTGTAAGTGTGTATTATACGACATTTAATTGTGTTGTCTTGTGTTTGTTTCGATGTACAGACGAGAAATGTGATTGGAGACCGTGGAATGGAAGTTCTTGCCAGCTCTTGCAAGAAAACAAAACGGCTAAGGATCGAGCGAGGGGCCGATGAGCAAGAAATGGAATACGAAGAAGGCGTTGTTTCTCAAAGAGGACTAACCGCCTTAGCCCAAGGATGTCTAGAGCTAGAATACATAGCCGCATACGTATCCGATATCACAAATGCAGCACTCGAATGCATTGGCACACACCTGAAAAACCTCCTCGACTTCCGACTCGTCCTCCTGGACCGCGAAGAGGTAATCAACGACTTACCCCTCGATAATGGCGTCCGATCCCTACTAAGTGGCTGCAATAAACTTAGAAGATTTGCACTTTATCTTAGACCAGGAGGGTTGACTGATGTGGGTTTGACTTATATTGGTCAATATAGTCAAAATATAAGATGGATGTTATTAGGGTATGTTGGAGAATCTGACAAGGGTCTTTTGGGGTTTTCCAAAGGGTGCCCTAGCCTACAAAAACTTGAAGTTAGAGGGTGTTGTTTTAGTGAACAAGCATTGGCTAGTGCTGTTCTGCAGTTAAGGTCACTTAGGTACCTTTGGGTTCAAGGGTATAGAGGGTCACCAGATGGGTGTGACTTCTTAGCCATGGCTAGACCATTTTGGAACATTGAGATAATACCTTCTAGAAAGGTGAATGCTGGTGGGGATAAAGAGGAAGAGCATCCTGCACATGTGCTTGCTTACTATTCACTTGCTGGATCAAGAACAGATTTCCCTCCTTCTGTTATCCCACTTGGAATCCACCATAAGCAGATCAAAGAATGAAAGATGAAAAATGAATGGAAGATATGATATGATGGCTGCTTTTATGGCCATTTAACCGTTTTTGAGCTTTTCTAAAACGTTCTGGTTGTTTGATATGGTGTGAGAAGAAATGAAGATGTGATTGTAAGATGTATTAGTTGATGTGATGAGCGGTTATGATCTGAATGCGAGTTTTATTTATCGAGAGAAAGAGAGTGGGAAAAAGATGTCATAATTGTGTCTTTCTGATATGGTTATTCGACATTTCTACACTTTTTAGTTGTTTAATGTGAAGATTAGATTCTATGGTGCTTTTATATGTGCATCAAATAAGAAAAATTGTTCGACAATGTAAAAAAATTAGAGTAAATTATGGAGTTGGTTCTTGTAGTGTCTTGATTTTCTGGTTTTCATTTTCCTCGACTTCAATTATTACAAACAAACCCTCTGTGTAATGCATTTTGTTTTAATTTTGGTCCCTTCAACTAATACTTGTTAACTTTTAGCTGTTAATTGTTTTTTTATTAACCTGAATATCCAACCCGTTATGCGAGTCGACTAATCCCAGGGCGACCACCTGCTTTGCAAATAGCCTGGAGTCACCGCATTTAAACCTCCGTGGCCACAAGAGGACTTTTATTCCTAATTGGATTTGAACCTGAGACCTCCATATACTTTTGACATTTGGAGCCAAGCTCAAACCAATCAGACACCCCCCTTGTGGTTGTCGTTAGTTGTTTTTACATGAGGGTAATATGGTCATTTATCCTTGAAGCATGATGTAGCAATGATGTGGCATTGATTTAAACCGCATCAAACACCAATGTATAACGTTGTTTGGTTGGTTTTTTATTAAGTCATGTATGGAAAAAAAATTGATTATATGTATTAATTATTTCTGTATAAATTGAAAGACTTTTATTTGGGAGGGGTTCTCACATTTCGAAGAAGCTTCTTTTTAATTGGGACAAACAAGTTTGAAAAAAACTTGACTTTCTATAAAAATCTTCTTTTAAAAAATTACTGAATAAAACACTTTATGCATCATTAAGTCACTAAGAATAGCTTAAAATGTTAAAAAGAAACTGGTTGCTTATTAAGCAAATGCAAGCGCCTGTAGCTCAGTGGATAGAGCGTCTGTTTCCTAAGCAGAAAGTCGTAGGTTCGACCCCTACCTGGCGCGTCTTAATTTTTCTTTTTGAAACTTTTGTGTTTATTGCACGGATTTAACCCCTATACAATGCAATCAGTTACATAACGACCCCCAACAAATCAATAACTCAAACTACAAAACAATTCATTAATTTAAACACCGTTTTATTCCTCTTTCAAATGCTTCTTTCGTCTTCACATGTGCATTTGAATGAAATTTCTTTCTTTGACCAAAAACTGTTGCGTTGACTTAACATGTTGGAAGATCTTTTGGTGGTGGTATAATCGACTCCTTTGGCCCCTTACCATTCTCCACCAAAAACGCCATCTTTAGCCCCCATGTCGTGTGTACTTCCAAATGACAATGCAAAAACCATACACCTATACATAAAACCAGTTATCAGTTTTAGTTTAGAGTTTAGGGTTTAAGAATCAGCTAACAGTACCTGGATTATCAGCTGTGAATCTTATGACGGTCCATCCTGAAGTAGGAACATTAAGCGTATTCCTCTCAACGGGATCGACGAGATTGAATGTCTTTGGGTCGTTCTCCGGATCGTAATTTCCCATCCCCTTTCCAACGACAAAAAAGTTGAACCCGTGAAGATGTATCGGATGGCTCTCTGGGGCTATCACCGCGTTGCCTTGAATCACGACTTGAACGGTGGAATTATACGCCAACCGGTAAACTTTAGTCCCGTTTGTAAGTTGCATGTTTGTTGGTGGAGTACCGGTGTAGTTATAAGGTGTTACCGGATTTCCAGGGAAATCGTCGGTGAAAACACCACTTATGTTAAAATAATGTGCCTGAAGTAGAGCTGTGGTGGGCATCACAAACGTAACGTTGTTGACACCCGCTACAACTCTGCTTCCGTTAACACAAGTTGCACACGGGTTTACTCCAACACCAACGACAAACATCAAAGAGTGATCAATGTCTAAAGGGACCCGGGCAGGGTATTTTGGCGAATTCAGGCTTCTAAGAGACTCGATGTATAAGTTTGTAGCCGATGTCGCGTTTACTGCTGGAAGGGCGGTAAGGGTAATCGGTGTGTACGGTTTGGTGCTATTGTAGCGTAAGGAGGATATCGCAGTTTGGTTGTCAACCGCCACAATGGTATCCATGAAAGGCGAAATCGCCATCAAGTACTTGCCGGATGTTTGATCTGCGGTTAAAAGAGCGTTTGTGGTTTGGCCCGGAGCAATGTATATCGTATCAGTTTTGAATGGTTTGACGTAACAAGCATCGACTTCAACAACCGTAAGCTTATGGTTGGCGATTTTGAAAAACAAATCTTCATTCAGCGCAGCGTTGACTATTCGCAACAAGTACGTCTTTCCGGCTTCGACGTGCAAAGTGTATCCTGGAAAATTTCCGAATTAGCACACACACTACAACAAAAAACGGTTGAATATGACGTCATAGGCTGTTTAATCTGTCTTATATAAGCTTAGGACAAAACCACTCTCAATTCTATGTATTACAATAAAGTTGACGAGACACTTTTTTAACAAGTCTTTTATGATATTTTTAAAATAAAACGTTTTATTAATCTTTTCATATAGCATTATTAAAAATATACTGATATGACAATTCCTAAAAGTGTCATATAACAAAATCTACCATGACAAAGTGTCAAAAAAAAAAGTTGATTAGGTACCCAAATACTCCCATAACAACCTATTGTAATTAGGGGTGTAAATGATACGAGTCAAGCTCAAGTATCACTATATTTTAATCAAAAAATAATTGATTAATATTTTTAATTAAAAAAAATGCATAATTTTGTTTAAATATCTAAAAAGACAAGACATTTTTATTATTTATATTTTATAAATTTTATCATAAAAGCTTATTATATTTTAAAACTAATTATATATAATATAATCGAGTATCTCACGAGTTATTCGAGTCGAGTATTGAGTAGCTTGACTCGACTCGTTAATATGTCGACTCGAGTTCGATTTCGAGCCAAGCCTATTCGAGTCGAGTGTTGACCGAGCTTTGACCGAGTCGATTTCGAGTAGCTCGCGAGTTGTCTCGTACCATTTACACCCCTAATTGTAACATTTATATATAACATATAAATAGTAGCAAATCTGGGAACTTATGTGACCGGAGGCCGTTGCGAAAAAATCGAAAACAAACTAACAGTTTTAGGTTATTCTATTTGCGTGTTAATTAACGGTTAAGTTAACCAAATAAGATAAGTTTCAGTTGCGATTATATTTTTACCATATCAGTTAACCTAACAGCAAAATATACTATTATTTTATATAATTTTCTTTTAGATGAATTGGTTTGAACATAAATAAAGTTAGCAATAGATGAATTGATTTATTTTCAACGAAAAAAATAAGAAATTAAGATATATTTAACAAAACTAATGTTAGTATTATAGAACGACTAGAAAGGTACTCGCACAATGCAGCGAGATATATCTCGATTTCAATGTTTTTTTTTTGTCTCAGTTGATGTTATAATACGGTTTTATGTGGTTTTTAGAAAGTGATAATGTTTTGTTTTTTGAATAAAATATAAATATGAAGATATCATAAAAAAAATAAAAAAAAATATTGATATTAGTAACAGACTAACTATTTAAAATTTCTCGTTTTTATGTGTATTTCTTTAATTCATTTTTTATTTTTGGTTTAATAATATAATTTTTATAAAGATAATAATTAGGTGTTTTATTAAAACTCAATGATTATCTTAATTATATTTTAGTTTTTTTATATTTAAAATGAAATGTTTATCCTTTATTTAATTATTTTATCTAAAGTTAGTTATACGAATTCAAATATGAAACTTTAATAAGTTGTACTTATGCATAATTTACTTGTAATCTTGAATTTTAAGTAACATGCATCAATAAACAATAATTCAGACATAAAAAATAGTTTTTAAGAATTTCTGTAAAATTATTTATTTTTATAAACTTAATTCATAATTCTCGTCCCACAAAATTAAGTGTTCATAGTACCATTTTTGTTGCTAAATTGATTACACCAAGTGTGTATATTGTTACCTGTAGAGCTGCAATTAGGAACCGGCCCTGGATAGCCATTGATGGTGTGTGCATCCGATACATTAGGCGGCATACCAGTTTGCATCCACTGTTGCATCACAGCATCGACATCCGATTTCCACCATTCGCCTGTCGAATTCGAAAGAAATCATCATCTTCAGAATCGTTACGAATGTAGATAGATTAATCAAACGAGAATCTTACCGAATATGATGATCTTTTCATGATCGGGTTTCGGAAACGGGTATGGAACGCCGTGTTTCGGCAAAATGACGATGGCTCCATGCACAGTGGCTCTTAGCCAAGTGATATGGGCATGCCAAAGAAGCGTACCCCTTTGGCCCGTAACGTTAAACTTGTAGTGATATCTTTCACCGCTCTGTATCGGGCACTGTGTTACATACGCTGGCCCGTCTGACCACCCCGTTCGTAGTTGCCGAACTCCATGCCTAAAAACAGTCAAGAAAAAAGGTCAGGTTACCCGTACATGCCAGCCTTCGTGAAGGTCATAGTTCAAGAAATAGAATCATACCAATGGATTGTAATGTTGTGTTGTACGTTATTCACAATTCGAACGATAACTTGGTCGTCTTCTCTAGCGTACAAAGTCGGCCCTGGAAACTTTCCATTTATAGTAACTACAGGTTTAGTTTCACACAACCTAGTCATGTTCTTCATCACAACCTGCAAATAAAGTGGCAAGTTGATCAACCGTTAGAACGAATTTACGAAACGAATCTCATGCCACTGTGCTCCGAAAACCGATAACAGTAGACGCGCTTACGTTGAACTTGTAATGCCAAACCTTGGGCTCGACCATCATCGGAAACAAGACCATGGCTAAAACCAGAATCACGACTGATCGAACCCAACTCGCCATTCTCTCTCTCTCTCTCTTTCGGGCTCGGGCTCTTCTTTCCAATGTGTTTGTGGGTTTGAAAGAGGGTTTTATAAAGGATGTTGATGACATTAGTGATATTGTAACGTCGTTTTACTAGGTTAGGTAAGCAAAAAAGCACACACGTCTATACATGATTGTTTCGATGTATATAGATTTCTTGAATTTTAAGATAGCCATGGCATCTCCTGTGATTTTGTTCTTCCATTTTCATTTGACCAAAACTGACGTTGAGCTAAAACTATAATTGAAACATACTTCCCACCTTAATTGGATCAAATTTTCTGGTCCATGCAACTCATTATAGTTTTCTAACTATTTATATGAATGTTCTTCCATTAATGGCGGCGTGGCGTTTAATTGGGTAAGATAATGAGATGCGAAATGGCTTTCAACAACAGAAACCAGAAGAGTAATTAAGGGGCGACGGCAGGTGGTGGTGACGATTGGTGGTGGTGGTGTTTGAATGCTATTGAATGGATTGTTAATTTTAAGATGGGAGATGGTTTTCATGAACAGTAAATTGATGGGTATTCATCATCTTGTTCGTTTGGAAGCCATAAAGTTTTTGACCTTCTAGATCAACATAATTGCTTCAAATCGAATAAATTCGTGTCATGTTGATGTATAATAGACATTGTCGATCAGGTCATCCGTCATTCCGTAGGTTGACATTCGTCGGTTTAAATTTAAGGAAAAAAAACATGCCGATTGTTAATCCGTCAACGTACTCCTTCCCTTCGCTAAAAGAACATCGATGAATATTTCTGACATACCAAAGATTTCAAATCATTTCATTAATAACGACTTTTAAGAAAACGGTTAATTAATTTCAAGTGGATAACGTTTAAACACATTAATAATTACAAAAATCGCATGTCTCGATGTTTCAAACGTTTTCCGATGATACTTGTATGGCACTTGCGATCTTCTTAATACACGATTTATAAAGAAATCCAAGATAATCTATCAAACCCTCTTCGGACACCCCTTCAACCGGACTTATTTCAAAGGACCAGTCTACCAAAGTCGAACCATCCCCATAATCTATGAGCTTAAGTGAATTTACAGATCCGTCCAAACCCACGTTGCTAGCCTCCATCCTATACACAAAGCTAAATGACAATGGATCCATGGAAACCAATCGTTCCTTGATCCATGATCGATCTCCGTCCTCTTGAGGAAACATGAAGCCGGACACTAATCGAACGTAGCCGGAAACACCTTCGACTCCTTGCAAGTGAGTGCATGTTTCTACCATCGGCATCCATTCAGGCAGCCGGCCAGCTTCAGACACCATGGACCATACTCTTTCTATGGGTGCATCCACTATGCCACCAACTGAGCCTCGCCACTGGTTTTCAACAATGCAATATAAGTTATTAAAATTATATGGTATGATTAATAACCAACGTAAGAAGCGTAGTTGAGGAGGGTGTGTGAGTTTATTTGTTTTATTTGCTGTATATAAATATTATATACTTCAAAAAAAACATAGTTGAGTTTATTTATCGTATATATTTTTAAAAATAATAATTTATCTGATTTAAAGAAGGAAAAAGGAGAAAGAAATAAATACCATGTTGTGTGAAGAAATTTTGGGTTTTTGAAACGAAATCAAGAAAAATAAATGGTTGGCATTAAAGAGAAATCATGAATATAAACGAATTAACCTTGGAATTAATGTGAGGGTTTAGGTATATATGTTTCTTGAAGAATAAGACAAGGTGTCATTAATTGATAATTTCAATGATTATTGTTATTAATTGATAACTTCAATGATTAGTTACGATCCTCTATTCAAGCAATGCTTTTTAATATTAATTTTTTTAAATTAAAAAAAATAGATTTTTTGTGGTTTATTTGTATAAATTGATTTTTTATATTGTTTTTTAAAATAGAAAAAAATATAAAAATAATTTTAAGTTTAGAGGATTTTTCAAAACTTGAAAAGTATAATTTTATTTATTTATTTATATGTACCAATGAAATTGAATTATTATTATTTATATAAATTAAAAAATGTATTTTGATTATAAATTTATATAATATTTTAATAATATAATAAGGGTTGAAATCTTTAAAATAAAGAATTTGTTGGAGGTAAAGGTAATTATTTTAAAAGTTGTTTGGTTTGACAGAATGAATTTAAATATTTGAATTTCATGAAAGAATTTTTGAAATTGTAATGATTTCGATATAGAATCTTTGGATTTGAATTTTATTATTTATAAAATAGAAGAGTATTCACAAAATGCAGCGAGATACATCTCGGTTTTAACGTCTTGTTAAACTTTTTTTTGTCTCGGTCGATGTTGCAATACAGTTTTATGTGATTTTGAAAAAACGATAATGTTTTATTTTTAAGTAAGATATAAAAAATAAAGATATCAAAAAAATATTGATATTAATATAAAACTAACTATTTAAAGTTTCTCGTTTTTTTGTATGTATTTCTAATTCATTTTTTATATTTGGTTTAATATAAGTATTTTTGTTATAGATCAATGATTATTCTAATTATATTTTAGATTTTTTATATTTAAAAAATGAGATTTTATTCTCTATTTGATTATGTTATCTGCAGTTAGCTACACGAATTCAAATATAAAGTTTTAATAAGTTATACCTACATACAATTTACTTGTAATCTTGAATTTTAAGTAATATGCATCAATAAACTGTTTTTCATGTATAAAAATAATTTTTAAGAGTTTTTATCAAACACGTTATAATATAGTTATTTATAAATAATTTATAAAAATAATTAAATTATTTTTTTATCAATCGATTATTAAAAAAAATGCTTTTACACATTTTAAAATATTTATACATACAAATCTTAGGAAATTTCGTGACATACCAACAACCCATCAGATTTTTAGAAATCATATGTTTGTCGATTTCAATGAATAGTAAATTACAAGTTTCATCCCTGTGGTTATCTAGAAATTTTGGTTAGATCCCTCAAATAAACTAATTACAACTATGATCATCATAGTTTCATTTCTGTTACGAATTGGATCCCTTGACCGAATTTTGTTAACTTTATCTCTATTAAATCAAGTATAATATAATCTATTTTTTTTAAATAAATGTTTTATTGTACATGTTGGATGGCATTAGGATAAGTGTAAGGGCCGTTTACTAAACACTTACTTGGTAAGTGTCTAACGTATAAATTTTCTCATCGGATGAACATGAGAAGAGCCAATAATCTTACCGGAAAAGAACGATGAGAAAAATGGAAAGTTTTACATGGTAAGTGAGAATGACGACTCTTACACAAATAAGCACTTGCCCAGTAAATTTTTACATTTGATATGTTTTGATGTACTAAAATTTTATGCATCAAAATAAATTATAGTGTTGACTCTTATTGGTAAGCGCTTACCGGGTACGCATTTGAGTAAAAGGCCCATAAGAAATATTTGATGAAAAAGAAAAAGCAAAAAATAAAGTTCATCTCCATCCTTAAAGGTGTAAATAATTAGGGATGGTGATTTGCCCCGACCCGGTAGGGAACCCGGTTCACCCGACCCGAACGGGGACGGGGATTCCCCGCTAAAACGGGTCCCGAGGTCAGGGCCGGGAATCCCCAGTAGACACAAACCGGGGACGGGGACGGGGGATGTTACTCAAACCGGGGACGGGGCCGGGGCTGGGGATCCCAGTAGAATCAAAATAAAAGATACTATTTACGAGGTTTTACCGCGTTTTGACCGGGGATTGCTAGAGATTTGACCGGGGACCGGGGCCGGGGGACGTTACTACAAACCGGGGCCGTGGATTACAAAACCCGCCCCGTTGCCATGCCTATAAATGACACGAGACAACTCGTGAGATATTCGAGATCAACTCGGTCAAAACTCGATCAATACTTGATCCGAATAGGCTCAAATTGAACTCGAGCTCGACTCAACATATTAACGAGTTGAACGAGTTGAGTCAAGCTACCAAATACTCGACTCAAAAAGCTCGTGAGATACTCGATATTTTTATTTATAGTTAGTTTTAAAATACTATCAGTTTTATAATATGATTGGTAAAATATAATATAATAAAAGTATCTTGTAATTTTAGATATCTGAACAAAATTGTGCATTTTTTAACTATAAGAACTAATCAATTATTTTTTAATAAAAATCATAACAAAAAAATCAGTATAGAATTGTTGGTGAATTCGTCTCACATTGAAAAAGAGATAGTAAAATAAGCGTGAAGAGGTATTATAAAAAGAGAGAGGGTGGATGAAGTGTGTAACTTTGTCTTTTTTATGATGAAATTTGAGATGGATCACTTTAGTTTTATAAAAATTAAAAAAACGCCTTTAAGTTTTAAAATTTATTATAGAATACCTAAAATTTAATAAATTTCAATGGGTGAGCTTGGTTCGAACTTCATTCGAGTTTGAGATTCATTTGAGTTTGAGTTTGAGTTTGAGCTTGAGTTCGAGTTTAAAAATTACAATCGAGTTCGAGTCGAGTTTAGTTCTTAACTACTTGCGAGTTTTCAAGTCGAGTTTGAGCTTGAGAAATGACTATCGAGTTCGAGTCAAGTATATTTGATATTCGAGCTCAACTTGCATTATTTACACCCCTACCCTCACCTCCGATCAAAACCTTTTTGGTCCTCTCCTCTGACCAATACCTCATTTCCAACCAATGCAATACAATAAACACACATAAAACTAAAATAAAACACTAAAGGCCCGTTTATCAAACGCTTATCCGGGTAAACTATTACCAAGTCACATAACTTTACCGAATCAATATGGCAAAGATCAAGAATCTTACCTGGTAAGAGTGAAGACAAGGACTGAGAGTCTTACCCGGTACGTGATGGCGACGGCACTTACCAGGTTAATTGTTGTATACGATACCGTTTTGATGGACTAAAATCTTACCTGATAAGTAATTGACAGTGTTAAATTTTGCCGGTAAATACTTATCGTGGTAAGCGTTAGTAAACGTCCCCTAAATCAACCAAAATCCAACCCTCGCTATATAAACACACAGATTTTCATCCCTATTTCACTATGATCTAAAACCCACGGTCTTCTTCAATGTGAAAACTTGATGAACCCTTCATCTCCGGCCACCCAAATCCAAAAACCTTCTATTTTTTGTTGTTGTCGTTCATCATTTGTAACACTCGGATTTTCGGGTAAACATAGTTTCAAGTTTTTACAAGTATTTTAACCTTAGAATAACCTTGATGAAGTATTTTGGGTTTTGGTTCTATTGGGTATCACATTGTGGAAAAATCAAAAAAGTTGAAACATGCATGGCTCGCAGTCGCGAGCAAATAAGTTGCACATGCAACACCATCAAATCTGAAAAGAGCGACTAATTTACAATTTTCAGTAGTACATCAAATATAAGATAAATCCCTTTCAATAAATCAATACTTATATTATCTAGATTTAACATCAACAATTGATAATTCAAGTCTTACATAAGTATCAGGTCAAGTTCGGGTGTTACTAAAATCTAAATCAATAATGATCCATATTCTCAAACTATATGTGGGATGGACTAGGCCTCATAGGTTTTTTTTAACATAAAAAGTAACGATTTACTTATGATCAAAATCTTACAAATGAAACTTAGTTCATTCAGTAAGCAGGCTAGAAATCCAACACCAATAAAAGGTGCGACAAATGAAACTTATCTTATAGGTTGTGTTTTTATACAGCAAAACTTTGAGTATTGTGTCTCTAATGATACCCTATAAAAAAACCTTTTTCTCCGTTTGGAAACTTCGAGCGGCAGAAGATTTCTTTTTGTTTGCAGGAGATCAATGGTAGACCTAGTATTCTTGTCGAGTCGTTGCACCTCTAAAGTGAATTAAAGGCTCAGAACGATGTTTTTAGCCGAATTCCACCGTTTGGAGGTGTGTTTTTAAAAAGTTTTTTTGATTGATGTCGAGAGGTTTTTTAAGTCTTCTAGTCGAATTTGGAGCGATTTTTTGGGCTTTTTTAGTTGAAATCGAGAGACTTTTTCGGTTAATTTCGTTGAAATTTTTGGTTTTTTGGTTTTTCTTACTATACATGTAACTATTTCATTTGGAGGATCCGGTCCAAAATTTTCAGTAACCACATGGACAATATTTGAATTTACTCTTCAGTGTATTTGAAATCATTCAAACCAAAGATACGATTGGAATATAATTTAGTTTCAAATCTCTACAAATCGAATCGAATCCTGTAAACAAAACGTGGACTTTCAAGATTTTGACTTTTAGTTCTATATTTGAGAGAAATTATAAAGAATCTTTTAGAATATACTCTTAGGGGGCATTTGGTTCGTAGAATGTAATTCGATGAAATTGGAATTTATCAAATGAATTTGACTTTGAGGGAATGGAATAGAATTTGATGGAATTTGACCATGTCTTTTAATTGTGTTTGGTTGGATGGAATTAGAATGAAATTTTTAACGGAATTGGAATTTTTTTGTTTCGTTCACGGAATTCAACGAGAAAATTACATAGATGACATTTTGAGAAAATCCTTTTTAGGATGGAAAGAACGAGAGAGAGAGAGAGAGAGAGAGAGAGAGAGAGATAGAGAGAGAGAGAGATCGAGCAATTTTGAATAGGGATGGCAAAAAAAACCGAAATCGATGGTGAAAATCGAAAACCGATTCGGGCCGGATTCGGGCATCTTATCTGGAACGGGGCGGGGATCGGGGACAAATTCGGGGATTTTAACAGGGACGGTGATCATCGGCCCGACCCGGCCTGATATGTGTATATATATTAATTTTAATTTATATACATACATACATACATACATGCATACATACATGCATGCATGCATGCATACATACATACATACATACATACATACATACATACATACATATAATATCATTAAAAGAAAATAGTAACTTTAAAATTTTAAAAACTTTTATCCACTTTATTTCAACAACCCAAATAAGGTTCACGAAAAAGTCTAGTTTATTTGTCTAATTATGAAATCGTGATTTTAGTTGTATGATGTTTGAAGTTTTGTTTAGTTTTATATTGTAATCTAATACATTGTTTGTAATTTGTTCGATTATGTTTGAGACATTTAAACTTGCATCTTTAAAAAATTGTAATTTACTTTTAGTTGTGAAAATTAACATATTGTAATTTTTTTAGATCTGTTTCAGGTTTCGGGTTCGGTTATAACCAACGGTGAACGGGAAAAAGAGGATTTTTACCTTAACGGGTTCCCCAACGGGGATCGGGGAAACCACGGGGACCCGATGGGGATCCTCGATAAGATCCCCGACAGGGATCGGGGCGGTCACGGGGACGGTTTTAGTTATCGGTTTCGGGGACGGGGATACCAATAACCGGTCCGAACCTGGCCCGTTGCCCTTCATAGTTTTAAACGAGATCGAGCAAAGGAGACCGATCATTGTAGAGCAGAGCAAATTGAGACACAACGTCGATGAATTTGGATGAGGGCTAAGGAATTTGTCGGATTGGAATTTGAAATCCGTGGTATATGCGGTGGAATTGTGAAATCGGTGACTTAAGGAATTTGTTGGAATTGGAAGGATTTCTTCATATCTATTTTATGAACCAAAAATGATATTTGGAATTTGGTCAAAGATTTAGACGTTCCAATTCCACCAAATTCCATGAACTTTTAACTCATGGAAGTGGCTTCTATGAAGAGCGCTATATGTTCTCCAACTCAACACCGTCATTCAAATGCTTCATCTCATACCTTTGTTTCATTTCCTTGCAAATATTCTGCTTCGAAGGAAGCTAATAGCATTATCAAAGCTGTAGAAAATAGAAAAGGTAAGCACATGTCTTATTAGTAATTAATGCTTATTATTGTTTTTGTGATTCATGTATTATAATTACTATTATACTACAGACTTCACTTTTGATTTTATCTATATACTGGAATTTGATAAAAAAAACTTTTAAAAACCACTTTTTATGCATAAAGTATTGTTTATTAATGCATGTTACTTAAAACTCAAGATTATAAGTAGAGTGTACGTAAATACAACTTATTAAAGCTCCATATCTGAATTCGTGTAACTAACTGCAGATAAACATAATCAAATACATGATAAACATCTCATTTTTTTTATGGTTCTAGATCAATGAGACTGCCTTGAACAAGGACCTGAACAACTCATGGGAGGTGCTTGCCGAACCAATAAAAACGGTACGTATCTGGCTTCCATGAGTTACCTGTTCATTGAAATGGTCTCATTGCAGTACTGGAAAGTTACAAACAACTTGTCTTTAGCATCTGAAGTATTTCTAAAAGTTGCATATTCTTCTCTTTAGTTCTCTAATGGTGTATTTGTTACTTGCTTCACCCCATGAAAGCATTTATTAGATTTTTGAATACGTTTCAATAGCAAATTATAACAGCCAAATAGGTGTTTTAGCTTAAACATCCATAAAAAATGACTTGTTGCAATTTCATGTGTAAGTGATGAGAAGATATGGTGTCGAGGAGCCTTATGAGAAGCTTAAGAAATCGACAAGAGGAAGGGCAGTGACGAGAGAATGCATAACCGAATTCATCAATTGTTTGGAAATACCCGTAGAAGCAAAGACAGAGCTCTTGAAATTAACTCCCCACAACTATATTGGAGTTGCAGTTCAATTGGTGGAGGATGAGTGCAGCACCGCTACCGATAATAAGTTTTAATCGTGTAATTTAATTAAAATCTGAATCTCGTTTAAGGTTATATACCTAAATGACCCATACGTATTTGCTTTGTGAATGCATCACTCATAACGGGGAGGGAGGTTATGTTGATCATTAAGTTTGGGTTAATTGACATTTTATGATGCAAATCCAATGTTATATTTGGTTAAAATGGTTTCGAGAACATAGCATTAATACGATAAAGAAGCTGGATCAAAACGGGTAAACCTTGATGAATTGATGATTGCTTGGAAAATTAAGAGAAAATACAACCCAAGATAACGTCATTGTGAACGTTTCTAGATTCACAAAAATGATGTTATATTTGCATTGCACGAATACCTTTCTAGTTATATTATATACACCTGGAAGACCTTAAACATATTAACACGTTATTTTGTTAAATTATAATATAACAAATGCAAATTGCCGATTTATAACACTTGTATATTTCAATCATAATTGATTACATTTATGCTGGTTTATATGATTAAAATCAAATATAAAAACATGCAACAAATACTTTTTATGGAAAACAATATATTATTAAGATGCGGAGGGCAGTGGTGATGGTGAAAGCAAGCACCACAACACACACCCATGTGAGACCGTAACCAAGATTCCTACTTTTGGATTTTAATGGTGTTCGGGACCATTTTCTTCCACATAGAAAAAAGCTGGATATCATACGACATTCGTATCTTGTCATGGGTGCAATCCAACAATAAAGACAATATCGACTAGTCATACGATCACACTCTCCCTCCTCTTTGTATTCATTGCCAACCATGCTTTAATTTCTTGCCTACACATTTCAACTCATGAAAACAAACCAGATCGAAATTTTCAACAAACCATGGGGACGAAAAACGTAATTTACTCTTTTGGGTTTGGTTTTTCATGGGGTTGCTTTCCTTGTGTGTGAACCACCCCTGTAAAAACTTACAGACCAATAAATCATCTTCATGCTAGAAACAAAACCTACTCACCCTGCAAATATGCCTCTCAAAAAAGTTGACAAGGCATGCTATGACAACATTAAGAAGAAAAGCGGGAATAAGGACGTCAATGGCTGGAAAAAGATCAAACCTGACGTCAACGACTGGAAACAGGTCAAACCAGATGTCAATGCAAAACAAAGATACCCTTGGTGTGGTGACGAGTATAAATGCTTCTAGCGTTGGTAGCACACAAGAAAAATGGTACGTAAAACCACTAAATCGTCGACTCGGGTGGTTTTCAGTACCTTGCAATCCTTCTTGTGAGCTACCACCATATAAAGGCATTTATACTCTGTCACTTCACCAGGGGCATTTGTGCTTTGCATTTACGCCGGATTTGGCCTTCTTCCCAACATTAACGTCCTTATTCTCCTTCTTCTTCTTAGTCTTATCATGGAGTGCCTTTTCGGTTGTTTTGGGAGGCATATTTGCGGATGGGCGTGTAAAATGTTTCTGGAATGAAGATGGTTTATAGGCCTACAAACTTACAAGGGTTTATACTCACACAAGGAAAGCAACCCTCCTGACAAGGTCTGAACAACCTGAGAAAACCTAACAGAGTAAATTGCGTTATTTTGTCCATGTGCTTTGTTGAAAACTTCTTTTTCATCCCTCAATTAGATGATAACTAAATTAGGTCTTGTTGAAAACCCAATTGAAATTTTGGGTGGAACTAATGACTAAATTAGATGATACCAGTTCTATTAATTCATCGGTTAAGCAGGATTAACATACAAATAACTAAATTTGGATATAACAACAGTTTGTGAATCCATTTCATACCTCATCACCTTCCACGGATGTTAGCAGGGGTTTGAAGACTGTTGATTTCATCATCTATGTTTCCATGATCAAAGCACAAACCATTGTTATTCACACTCATTTCAGAGCTTGCATTGCTGCTTGTTGCAAGAGGTGAATCAGAAACGCTAATTGTTCGACTTCTTGTGGGACCAGGTCTCACACTGTACATTGATGATGCTGGAATATTTGTCATCAATGGCCTCAAATTACCCGGCACTGTCCGCCTTATATCCTGTTACAAACCATCAATCAATTTAAATAAGGCCGAGTGCAAACACTTTTTTCACACTCTACTCCTCTACGAAGGTCCCACCCTTAGACCCTACCTCCGAGCAGGACCTACAAGGTGTGTTTGATTTAGTTTGGTTTTCTAGTAAATAAGGAGAAACTTTTGTTCTTTTTTGCATTTACATTTCCACAATTTGTCCAAGCCACATGTAGTGTGCTTTTTGGCATTTTATAAGATAAATGCATTTTTTCAGTTGCAACAAACAACTGTCTTATGAAATTCATGAAAAAGACTACTATTTGCAGGAATAAGTGCTCGTGGACAAAATGTCCAGTACGACCTTGTTGTATTGTTTACATTTCCATAAATTAACCAAGCCCTCATTCTTCCCAACATGGTGTTTGATTTTGGGCAAAATGCAACAAAGTTTGGTTTAGTTCCAATTCAATGTAATAAAGTTTCAAAACTTTCTATTTTTTACCCATTTTGACCGGAAACCTGCTGCTCTTCCATTTCATCATTAACCCTTTTGTAAATGGGTATCCATGTTATCAAATGTTACAAGATCAACATGTTAATGATACAAATGGGTGCAAAATATAAGATTTTGGAACTTCCTTTCATTGGTTGAAAAAGGAAGTGTTACATTAAATAGGAACTAGGGCAAACTTCTTTGCATTCAAATGCATTCTGCCTTTCTATTTTTGGCATTAGCACAAAATAGCTATGATTAGTTTGTAATGAAAAGCCGAAATAGGCTCACAAGTCCATCACTCCTGAAGAATGATCGAACATGTAACCATTTTATGTGAGATGAGAAGAAAGGTACCATATGCCGTATAGCCATATCCAACGATTTCTTTGAAAGTGATCTGCCAAAGCCAGAGCTGTCAGGAGATGATGACTTGCCAGAAAAGTTACTGTGGGGTGAATGTTTGTCGTCTTGCTTTGGTGGCACCAATTTCCGCATGTTTATTACCCTTTCAACCATCTTTGTTCCATACAAACCAGGGCTCAGATTGTCGTTAGCTTTAGCATATGCACGGTTCAGTGCAGGAACAGGCACAGAGCTTCCACTACTATGACTCATGCCATTGGGGAGCCGTCCTCTTGAAGGTGAACATGATTGCCTTCTTACCCTTCCATTGGTTGCAGGCTCAACAGATGAAGACCGGATACTGGGTGCACCAGGCCTTCCCCTTGTCGCCGAAGTGGGCCTATCAGAAAGTGAGGTCCGTAAATTTGGCGGTGCATCAAGGGAATAACCAGGCATCTCGTGAGGTTTCCATGGCCTTGGTTTTACACTGGGAGAACTAGCACGTGGTGGTGGTGCTGCATTTCTTGTTGTATTTGGTGCCGACTTTGTGACCGTAGGAGGAGATTTTTGGGAAGGGACGGATGTTTTTGTTACAGTTGTCAGTGTCGCTTGCCTACGTGTTGGTGTTGATGCCCTTGATGCAGGTTTGCTTGCAGGTAAAGATGGTCTACTTGTGGGAGTCGAGGATCTTGCACTAGACCTTGGAGTAGGAGTAGAAGACCTAGCTGGTAGAGTGGGTTTTGTTGAACCCACGGTGGGACGAGGAGTAGGTGTTGAGGATCTTGAGGGTCTAGATGCTGTAGTTGAAGTGGGTTTGGATGTTGCGTTAGAAGTTTTGGGTACTGAATTTGATGTGGGTCTAGATGATGTGCCCAATGTGGGTCTTCCAGTTGGAGTAGCAGGCCTTGAACCTGGACCTCCTGAGGATGATGGCCTACGGAGTCTGGCACTTGAAGTATTCAATCCAGGAGATGACACTGGCTGTCTAGATACCAAGTTATTCCTACCAGTAGCGTCCGGGTGGGTATTTGATAGCTATACCAGAAGCAAGCAAGTAGTGATTATTAATTTACAGGTTCAATACTTTATGCTATATGCCATGCAAAAGGTATGAATCATGAATCATGCAGCAGTCATGAATCATGATAATGCTGCTTAATGTCATGTCGAATTGATGCAACTTAAGCACAGAAACTATTTACAGCTACCGTATATAGAACTAAGAATTGCTCTTACCCGAGATTTTAAGGCAGTAGGACGAGCTTTAGGAGTTCCAACCTGACCCATCACGCTTTTCTGTGATTCCATTTCCAGCGAAGGGAAAAGAGGGGTACCAGGGGGCGTCAAAAGCCTAAAAACATTAGAGGTCACTAAAAATAAAACAATGAAGTCTATAAGCCATGCGAAATGAATATAACAAACTAGATTGAATTTATATCATGCACTTCCGCAACCAAGAGGTCAGATACCTGATGCACACCAAGACATTTCATTACAAAATCATCTTGTATATAATTATTATATACTTCAAAAAGAAAATACAGGGGTGTTCCTAGTAAGAAAGGCTGGCTCGACATTATTTCAGATGTTTTACACCAAGAATATTTTCAACTCAGATAGTTTCACAGGTTTAACATGTCTGATATGTCTATCAAATGCAATAACTAATGTAAGAAGGATAACATCATATATGGTGATATCTCTTTCCGAAAACCCATAACCTTGCACTTGACCACATACTCTTCCAAGAGTACATACAAGAAAACAATAACAATCTATGGGTATAATCAGTAGCAGCAACCACACAAGCTAATGCCAAAAACTAAATACCCATAACAAGTTGATCACAAAACAGAGACAACATAATTACCAATCATAATCATTCTTGTCATTTTCTGAGTTGAGAAACTCCTCAGCACCAGTCTTTCTAGCAGGTGTTGCTGAAGGCATACTGAACATCTGTGAACTTCCTTCAATTGACCCTGTAAAAACCAAATATATTACCAAAAGAAGTTTACATAAACAGAACACATGGCAAGAATCAAGTTAAATAGGTAAGTGAATTTGTAATGAATAAATAAATTTCTCAACTTGAAATGGAATCTTTTCAATCCTTGTTAGTAATTAAATTTTAATCCTTATTTGTTTACATAATCTAAAATTAAATACATTTTACGTATTTTAAATTTTAATGAACTCGTATTTCGGATTATGCAACCCCCACTTGATTCTGTGCTTAATCCCCCAAATATGTCACTCAACCGATGTAGATGTGAAAAAGAATTCAAATAATACTTCATCTATACAGAACAAAACTCAAATTTCTTTATGAAACCGAGGAATATAATTGTAAAATTCATGAATTACCGAGTGATGAATCGAGCTCCTCTTCTGTGTTCTGAAGAAAAAGATCAGTACGCTCTTTTTCTCGTTTTTTCATTTCCAAAAATAAACCTAACTCCTCTTCTTTTTCTTTCATTACAGACTTCCTAAAGCTCCCCATCATTTGCTGCTGCCGTTGCTTAACCGCCGCTGGCCCCGGCATTCCCTTTTCCGGCGCCCGGAAACTCCGATTCATCGCCACAAACAAAAAAATTTATCCACGATTTTACCACTCCGGAGCCCTAAACCCTAAAAAAATACATGTACATTCACGAAAAACGAAGCACGCGCCTAAATCCTAAATGCCAAGAACCCTAACTTTTGAATTTACACTACAAACTAATGCATACAGGGATCCTAAAAATTTCAGCTCCAGATCTGAAAACCGAGCTGAAATGCTTCTAATGCAAGGAAAACAACCACCTTCCACATTCAAAAAAATTTAGAAAAAACTGAAACTCATCCTACGCATTTGAAGAAGGAGACAGGCAAAAATAGGTATAAGCAAAAGTAGAAATGGAGATCTCAGAACAACATTTAGGTGAAGATGAAAGCTGAACTTCGAAGTGTGATGAAGATGGAATTTTTTTTTAGAGAGAGAAAGTTGGAAGGAGTTGAGTCAATTTGAAAGATAGCAGCAGGGGGGAGGGAGAGAGAGAGAGAGAGAGAGAGAGAGAGAGCAGTGGCATTAAATGTAAATAAGGATGGTTAAAAGGCTTTTTTAAATTGAGAATAATAAATAAGACAAATAGTTTTCATTTGGGAAAAAAAATAGTCCCATAAAACGATATTGTCTCGTCACCACAAAAATCCAACTTTTTTGTGTTTAAAAATATTTTTTTTTATTTTTTTTAAATAATCAAAAAAACAGGTTACTAAATTCTTAAGGGTGTGTTTAGTGTCAGGACTAGACTGAATAGAACAAGATAGAACAATTGTTTAAGATTTGGTAAGATAGAACTGGACAGGACAGAATAAGTAAAATGACCAATTTACCCCTGATGAGTTGTTTATTTTAATTAATTTATGTAATTTATTAAATTATAATAGAATCACTATTTTTTATAACAAAATATATCATTTGAAGTTTTCGTCAAAATAATTAAAATGACACCAAATAAAAAGTTTATGTAGTTTTCTATTTTTATTTTTATCTCTTTTCTACATTATTTTTTATTATTAATATATAACAAATTACAAAAATTAATAAAAATATAGAAACCGTATAAAAATAATATTTTGAGGACAGTAAAATAAAAATTTAAGAAACATAAAATACAATAAATAAAATTTAAAGAATGAATAAAATGTAAAAAAAAGAGATCTATTTAATGTTTTAGAAGAGAATTAAGTTTTATTTTAAGGTTATATTGGTAAAATATAAGTTTGTTCTACTTTGTTCCATGGGATAGGGGTGGAACAGGCATGTTCCACCATGTTCTTGTCTGTTCCACATAAAATTCATGCCAAACATAGGACATGGATCTCTGTCTTGTTCTGTCATGTCTTTGTCCAGTGTACCAAACGCACCCTAAATATGTCGTTGGTTAATGCAAAATATCTAAAAATTAATAAAACTAAATTGGTTAATTGGTCGTCCATTTTATAGTACTGTTTATTGTTTTTTCTCTAAGTTTTTAATCTAGTATCGCAGTCTAAAACTACTTGTCTATAAATGATATATTCTCTATCATTCATTTTTTGCCGACTCTTTTAATTATTTCATTCGCAAGAATTCTATTTTTGTATTAGAATATAATAGATATAGATTTATTGTTTTATTAACTAAGAAAACGCCTATCTTTTGAAGCAAAAAAATTACCAACCATATGAGATGGTTCATCTTATATTTATATTTAGTATTTAAAAACTAGCATTATTTTTCACACATTATTGACACTTTATTACATATATTGAGTGCATGAATCTTTAAATGTCATATTATCTCTAAAACAAAAATAAGATCTCAAACTATAACAAGACTGATAGTTCCAAAAAGTTTATTTTGACCCTAAAAAATTAAAGCGACGATGAAACGTATTAACATGAATTGAAGGTGAAAACCCAACTAATGTATATTGATCTATGTAGAAATAAAGTGTTACTCTAAATGGTCAACATTGTGATCCTGAATGATATCAATCTATATATTAAAGATATGTTATATTATGCTCTTTTATGGTGGATCGGATTGTTGGTACTTACGTAAAAATCATATGTGAAATAATATTAATTTAGAAATAGTTATTGATTGATTTTGTGTCTAGATTACCTGGAAAAACGGTTTTATGTGTCTTGAATTCAATGTTATTTATTATGATAAAAATAATATATAGAAAAAAATTGTATATGTCAAGGACCTTTTTTAACATCTCGCCTAAGACCTATAAAATGTCAGGAACGAGACTGTTTAAATGTTTTGACCTTGTGTTCTTTATTTTAGAGAAATTATAGAGAATTTGTTGGAGATGCTCTAAACTAGTTATTAGTTGTTTGGCATAAACTAATTAATAAACTAGTTGAAAAATGTAAAATAATAAAAAATGACATATTAAAAATTAGCAAAATTTAACAATTTTTATAATATATTTAAAACAAATCAATAATAATATAATATGTTAATTAATACAAAAACAAATAATAGAATATAATATATGTATAATTTTTGGATTTTTAAAGTTGATGAGACTTAGATATCTTAATTAATTACATAAATATTTTATTAAAATATTTATCAAAGTTTTATTACTTATGAAACAAAATAAATATAATTTAGCTTTTAAGTAATTTACAAAAATATTTTTAAAATTGTTATATTTTTTTAACGACTATGTTGAATAAAATTAATGACAATTCTAAATAACTAATATTAATAAATAATCTACCATTAAAATAAATTAATAATTTGAATTAATAAGTTTTTATTAAGGTCTATTAATAATTAATAATAATAAATAACAATTAATATTAATCAGAGAAATAATTGAAAAAAATAGTAAAAAAACTCATGGAGTTTGAGTAGCCACTCTTTACCTATCAAAATGGTGTTTTCAAAATAAACTCAAAATATAAATTAACTTATGTTTATCAAATATAACTTGAAACAAAACTATCATATCTGTATAAAAAAGTTTCATATACAAATATTATAATTACTACGGACCATACAAATCTATTTTCAAAACTACTGTTTGTAAGTTATAAACAAACATTTAGTTATTATTTGTCATACAAACCTCACTCTAGTCAAAGACCTTCCAGCCTAGTGGTAAAGGCTTGGGCATGGCATAGTCATGAACCCGAGTTCGAGCCCTGGGAAGGGAGTGTTGGCGACATTTAAGTGGGGCCATGTTAGCCTCCAAATTTGYCGGGGATTAGTCGGGCTTTGGCCCGGACACCCTTACAAAAAAAAACCTCACTCTATATAAATACGATAGCTTTATGTATTTCAAATTCGGCTCTTCAAGTTTTGTCCAATTTTGGTTTGTCACAATATTTCAGATGTCTCAAATAAGAATTAAAAAAAAAATTGACGGGGTAGAGTCTTGGGGCATTTGGATATTTGTTTGGTTAGAATTTGCAATCTAATTGAATATGAGAACGGACACTTTCAAATTGCAAAATAAATCACAAAGCGTTGAAAGTTCTCTTCAAAAAGCAACTTCATTTGCAACTCATCAATATGGTCTGATTTTTCTGTTTTATAAATGTGTCAAGTTTATTTTCTGGTTTTCTAACATTTTTTTTAATTTTATTAACCTGGATATTCAACCTGCTATGCGAACTGATTAATCTCAGGGCGACCATTTGTTTTGCAGATAGCTCGAAGTCACCGCATTTGAACCTCCATGGCCACAAGGAGGTTTTTATTCCTCCTTGGATTTGAACCTGGTACTTTTATCCACCATAATCAAAAATCATCATCATCTCCTAATCATAATAGTACACCCGACCTGTTTGAGTCGTCCTCTCTCAACTCATCCTCGGGAACACTTAGTTCAACGTCTACATCTAATTCTCCCTCTATTGATTTTATTGAAACGCTTGCTTCTTTTGTGGACCCAATTACATATCAACCTACCAATACTCGTTGATAATAATGCTAGGAATATACCTTCTCATCTCTGCGATTACCATTGTTATACTACTTGATTCTCCACTCACACTCCATCCTCTTGTAAAGAGGTCTCTACTAACCCACCTGTCAGTAAGCTGAAAAAATAATTGTAGATACTTACCACAATCAATCATGGGGTGTCGCATTGTACCTCCTCCTCCCTATAAAGGGACGAAGTTCCAAATGGTTATTTAAAGCCAAGGGTTTTCAAGGGTTATGAACAAGTTACCTCATTCATTGTTAATGTAATATGTACCTAAGTTATAGAATCTGGATTTGTCACTCATTGTATTGTTTTGTTGATAACAGTGTTTGATACAAAGATTATCTTTAATAATATGTAGGATATTTCAAAAATGTGTAAACACTCGATTTGCACCGATAAATTCAATATATATATATATATATATATTAAGATAGATAACATGGGTCCAAATTGAAATGTAATACAATATCAGTGGTCTATATATAACTAAGAATGATGTTAAGGAACCTAACCTAACTAAATTGGGTTACTCATTTTAAATACCGGTTACTTATGTTATTAATATTAATTTATCAACTATTCTTATGTTTTTATTGTGCTAAAAATATGTTTTTTTAATATGGTAACCACAAGGGTGATGCCTGATTGGTTTGAGCTTGGCTTCAAAGGTCAAAAGTACCTGGAGGTCCTAGGTTCAAATCCAATGAGGAATAAAAATCTCATTGTGGTCACGGAGGTTCAAATACGATGACTATGGGCTATCTGCAAAGCAGGTGGTCACCCTGGGATTAGTTGGCTCGCATAGCGGGTTGGATATCCAGGTTAATTAAAAAAAAACATATGTGCTTTTCTTAATTTATTCTGTTAGCCAGTCATTAATTATTCAGGGTATAACTTCTTTAAGGTATCCGTTTGGCAAATATAAGCTAACTTATAAGTTATCTTATTTTTTGAATACATGTTTGGGTTCACATAAGCTAGCTTAGTTCAATTATATGGGTCATGAAGCATATCCTTGTCTCCTTTTCTGACACCTTTTTGAGATCTTTTCGGGCTTGACCCTTAGTCATTATTTTCTTTTCTTGTCTTGAAT